ATAATATAAAAGCTCCTACCCCGGCTCCCCGCGCCATCACTATTAGAATATATAAAGAAAGGCAGGAAATAGAGAAGGAAAAAAAACCATCGCTGTCCTCTTGCCTTTACCCGCTCAATCGCTCAAGTCCGGATTCGCAACAAAAAGCCTCACATTACTCATCCTGGTAGATCGATCATCCACGCTACCCCTCCGTTTAAGATCATCCACCTTTTTGACTCTATTCGCTGCGGCAACGGCTCCACTTGGCGCTGCCATCTCCGTAACCGTGCCAAAGTCTTCCTCCAGCTCACTGGCCTGGCTATGCGTGCTACCAGGGCGGTCGGGTTTGGACTTGTCTGTTTCTAGGTTCGATGACGCTATCGCTGCTGCGGAGCTGCCATTCGCGCCAGAATCTACGTTGCTGCTAGCGAAATATTCTTTCTCCTCGTCAGGTTTCAGAGGAGCGGGAGTCTCCACGATTTCAGGGATGTCGGTCTGTATCCGGTCCGCTGGATCCGTATTTGGCGGCGTGTTGCTGTTGCTACTACTGCTAAAGCGGCCCTGCTGTGGTCTCTGGTACCCGCTGGGAAACCGACTGCTGCCCGTGGAACTCCGCCCACTGCCCGTTCGGCGATGGAAGGGGGGTCCGTCGTTATCCTTGTCATCTTCACCGTCGCCAACTTCGTTAGCGCTCAATCGAAGAGGTACACCGGCACCAACCATGGTGCCTGTGTTATAGCTCATGGAGCGCGAGGAGGTATTATGCCGTATTTTGCCTGTGCTGGTCAGCGGGGCACTCCAACCACCTCCCCCATGCACTTCTATGGCTGCCCGTTGCTTTGCTGCCCGTCTCTGGGCGACTACGCGCGGGTCTTCCTGTTGCGCCCGGTCACACCATACGGTGGCCTTTTGTTTTCGCATCAGCGCGACGTAACCAATCGGAGCCGGAGCATGACCAGAGCGTGACGAGGAGCTTCGTCGGATATCAGCGTGGGAATTAGGAAGGCCAGAAGGTAGAGGGCTATTTCCTCCAGTAGATGTGGTCGATATCGTCCCATTTGACGCCCGTCGCCCTGGGTAATTAGGGTTCATGTGCTGCTGCTGTGGGTGGTGTGGGTGGTGTACGCCAGGAGGCATTTGTTGGTGAGGGTGCATTTGGTGTGGGTAGTATGAGGAAGAAGAGGCCTGGGGCCGACTTTGATGTGGTTGTGGTCTCATTTCCTGCTGTTGACGCTGTTGCGGACTAGGAGAGTCAGAGGAATGGAATTGTAGGCCGGCATTGCCGGAACCCAGGGGTTTACGGGGAGGGATTTGCAGCATCGGCGAGCGATAATCAGCCATTTTGTTTTCCTTGCTTTCGCTTTACTTCAACTATTGTCCTATTCAAGCAATCCCCTATAATCCCCAATGGGTAGAGTTTTGCAAAGAATCAAAGAATGGTAGCCACTGGAGACGAGATTATTGGGGACAGGGCGCCTACTGCGGGGGATGCGTGGTTTGTCGTTCGACGAAGTGAGGGGTGTGAATTGATTGCTACCAGTTTTCGCGATTGAATGTCTCTGTGGTCTGGAAGGGTCAAGTTCTGTCAAGTTCTCATGTCAGCGCCAATGGGCTTTTGTGGTGTTGCTGGCAGTCCAGGAAAAAGGAAAGTGTAAAGAATCCGGAACACTGCGCGCCACGGGTGGAGCCAAACCGCACGAAAGCGCGCCCACAGAGCCCGGAGTCCCAACGACGAACGACCTGGGACAAGGATAAAATAATATATATATACTCCGTATACGCACCAGTTCAGTTGGTTCCTCAGCCCACCGATCGGCGAAACAGTCAGCGAATGTTCCTGAAAAGTAGCACTATCACTGCATCCCGGAACAAAGGGTTTGGTTTCGAGTGGGTGTTGATGGTTGTGTACAATAGAGGAGAGCGGGCAGGGGAATAGGAACTGGGGTAGCCCTGGAAGGAGTAAAAATGGTTAGTTAGCTGCAGGAGACTCAGCCAGCCCGAGCAGCGAAGGGGAAAAGGGGAACAAAGCGAGCCGAATCAGTCGAATCAAATGCTGGAGATCGTGGAAAATCTGTTGGCTGGTGATGGGGAGCGAGACGAGAACACCGCTGCGCCACAGTGGGATCCTCAGGCGCCAGGTACGGAGTAACTGGAGGATTTGATGCGGTCTTGAGTAAATTTTATGTGGCCGTCGTCGGTTCCTGAGAGCACGCCGCTTTAACATAACAAATATTGCTGCTTTTTGCTATCGCTTCACCCTTTTTTTTTTTTTTTTTTTCGACCTTGCCAAAACACAGCAACTATTCCTTCCTGGTTGCTTTGTGCCTACTTAGTACTTACTAATTAATAAGTTACCTTGAGAGCATGGCTAGAACCAGACGATTGAAGTGGGGTGAGGTGATTTACTCCACAGCAAGGGAAGGGAGGAAGAGACCAATATTCTTATTGGTCTTGAAGACTTATGAACAAACGGTTAAATATTTCTCTCATTTCCTCAAGCATTCAAACTTGGTCCAGAAAGCTGCTGCGTACCACCTCAGCATATCTCTGAAGGAATGTGAGCCTGATGGTTTCAATAACTGGCTGTTTGGAAGCTTCAATGTCTGTATTCCCATCATTGTTCGCAGTCGCAAAGAGGTGTTGATGTGGTTCCCAATATTGCACCCGGGTTGGTGAATCCTTTCGACCGGGGAATGCAGATGAGAAGATACGGTGTGAAGTAGGCACTTATGCATGGTTGGAAGCGAATTGCGCTTCGGTACCAGTACCCAATTTCGACGGGCCAAAGTGTAAGACTCGAATCAAGACCTATCTATACGTCTGGTGGGGAGTATTTGGCTAACAAGACCATAGTTCACAGCTGCTGAGAATCTACCACTACTTCCACGATTCTTACATTATCTTCGTTGCTACATACTTAAGCTCTTTGGATATGAACCTCCGTTCTGGATATGTTCGCCGTAAGGGACTGATGTTGGATGGTCTTAGAGCTGGCTATCTTTTGATCCAGTACATAGACAAGTCCGAGGGTACAATGCTCTCATGTTCTTGGAATGACAAGCGACATGATAAAGACCTACACGCCAACCTGTTCAAAGGTTTAACATAGATAATATTAAAGCTTGCCAAAGTTCCCGTGCCACGAATTGGCTCATTCATTATCAACGACAATGGATTCTTGGTGTTGAGTAACAGGCCACTTTCACTAAAAATCCATCAATTGGAGAGCGAGGAGATCCCAGTGGATATACCTAGAGACATGACATATACATCAGTCGATTCGTACGTGGCTGATACACTGGCTTTTCACGACAGCTGTCTACACAATCGACCGAATGCAATAAAGGACAGATTTGATGGCATCTGGCAGTTATCAGCCCTTAGCGCTATGAGGGCTGTGGCTTCACGCTTTTTTGAACGTGACTTGCGTTTTGGCCCTTTTGTCTATATGTTCAACGATCTCCACCAATCTAATATCCTTGTCGATGGTGTAGGTCTGTCTTCCTTTGCCTTTCCCTCATGAAGTCCGATGATGATGGTGCCAATTTCAGGGTCGTTGGCCCAATCTGGAACATTCCCGGAATCGCGATTGTGGCGATAGTAACTGAGGAAGGTCGCGAAGCTCTCGCGAGCTCTCTGATCGTCCGTCTTCGCGCTCATAGTAAAAAAGCCACTTTATCTGCTTTGAAGGCCAGCTTCGTAAGAGATCGCCATTTAGTACAACTGAATAAGCGGACCATACCTAACTGCAAAAGTTTGAATTAAAAAAAACGGCTATATAGCGGACTGGGAACAAGACGGCATGGATCGAGGCGGGGTAAGTAGAAGATCGTGGGCATCAGGCTAAAGTGCTACGCCATGCGATGATTTACCAATAGAGGTACGTATACGTCCTGTGATAAATCCCCTGACGGTGCTATTATGCAGTTAAGGATTTTTATTCACTAACATGCATTGTTTGATAAAAGGAATATACTCGAGTCAATCTCTCCATCACAAGAGCAAGGGCTTCTGAATCCGAAGAAAACCAAAGTAGCACAAATATAAAGAAAGAAACAACTCAGCGTCCACTTCACTCTGTCTCTCCGAAACCATAGTATAATATCCAATACACTTGGCTAACTGAGTTATTCATGAGCTGCCCCATCCACAGTGCCTTCAAAATCTCCCTAACAAAGATCCCCAAACATCCTACCGGCAGGCTTTTCTAACCCAAGACAGCTTTCTCTTGCTTCCACACGATGTCGTTGAATTTGAAACTGAGAGCCTAGACATGGGCTCATGTAAAGCGGCTGTTGATGGGGAGCTGCTGGACCTGGATCGACGGCGTCTATCTCGCTCTTTTGCCTCTTCCTGAGATGATGGTTGGCGACCTCTTTGTCTTCGAACGCCGTCAGATATTCAAATACACACTGTATTGTATGACGTTGCCTTGGACTTGTTCTTCATATCATTGCTGGAGGACCAAGTGAATTTTATGTACCAGAGTAGAGAAATAGGCATGGGACCTAAACATCAAAATTGACAACAAGATGGCTGTGTTGGACGTCTGAGTTGCTATCTACGGAGTAATTGATTTACAAAGGTGAAGCGTTGGTGATTTACCATTCTGCCACGCTCTCTGCCTCCTTTCACCACGCACCCACAACGCCAGTTCGGCTTCCCTCCTATCCCCACAAGAAACTACGCGGTTGCATCCTCACTCATCATCAATCACCCAGCTCACCCATCGCCGCTCCGACGTTTCATGAGGGCGCCGAAAATGGCTACATGGACGCCTACTGGCTCACACCGGGCATGGGCCTCGTTCCTGGCCATGGCTCCCTCAACATATTCACATTCGATCTCAACCACCTCCGAAGAGCGACGAAACAGGAAACAGACACTTCTCCCTTTGCTGCTTACCTCCGTCACCTCTTGTCCAACATTCACCTGCAGCTTTCCCTTTTCTGGGACATACTGGCCTCCTCTGTTGTCTCTACTACCAATCTAACTCGCTAGCGGAATCCTAACTGACTATGAAGCGCTCTATTGACCGACGAGATCATGATCACCGCAGAGCACAGGACCAAAAGTCTGATAGCGAGTCAAGCTACTCTGACTTGCATGGTAGGTCAGAAGCCCCCCTCGAGACCGACCTTACTGAGCCCGATGTTCCTGAACGTCCGGCAAAGCGTCCGAATAGTGATGAAGGAGATTTTAGCAATGATCCTCTTGATGACACCGGGGTCGACCTGTCGGCCATCCCGGAGGATTATGGCAAATCAGCCGGAACACTTCTCCGGCGAGGACGCATTGAAAAACGCTGGCTACAGTTGGTCACTTTTCCTTTTCCCTGGTTTGATGATACACCAGCGATTTCCTTCCCTTCCCTAATAGTCAGTAGGTACTGTAAAGTCAAAGCACGACAGCTGCCAGATGAACGCAAGTGGCATAACCCCAAGCGTGCACTCTGCGAAGCGTCGGACAATGACATCCACCGGTTTCTGGGCTGGTGCCTCAAGCTCAAGCGAGGGAAGGACGGTCGACACCTAAAGGGTATTCACAAGGCCAGCTCATTCAAGGGTGACTGGCGGAGCTTCCGCCTTTACTATGAGAGAGTCACCAAAAACAAAATTCGTGATGAAGACGGCAGTAATGTGCGGCGGGTAGATTAATATCTTGAATTCTGGAAGATGAACGCGGCACTGACCTGACTACATAGCGTATCAAATACCTGATTGACACGAATGGCCTGGATACGTAGGGGGGCAAGAAGATCCCTGTATACATTGAGGACATGGTTCCATTCAATGAAACTATCCTGTCAACTCAGGAGAAAAGATTCTGGCTTGGATTTGAGCGGATCCAAGTGTGCCTATACAATACTCTAGGCTTATTTACTCTACATCGAAAGAATGCAGTATAAGGACCTACAGTTTTCGCTCCAGAAGGATCCCCATGGAGGACCTCCAATTCCGCTAGTGGAGTTGACAGCTCAGGGTGTTAAAAAGTTTATGGGGGAAATAAAATTGTATATCTGCCTTTGAGCTTGGTTTTAACTGACACTTTACCTCCCTCAACCTCTAGCCTGTCACAAACCCTGATTGACAGCATAGCTAACTGCAATCAGGATCACATTTCCCCTTCCTGAAGTAATTTATGGGCCGTCCTTGATATTCTACCCGCATACCTACCTCTTTGGGATGTTGTTCCATGCTAAGGCATTCCAAGCTCCTGGACTAACATCCATGGCCGAACTGCGAAAGCTATTTGTGAAACGGGGCTGCCAGCAAATGCCTTTGTATTTGAAGCGTGAGACGGCCGATTGGTATGTATTCTGTAAGACTGAGGTGGTTAAGGGGACTCCGGTTATCCGGCGAAGACAGCCATTGTTTAAACACATGATGGGTCGCCTTTTGTCAATTTTCGGAGAGATCCATGGTTGGCTCCATTCCATGTTCTCACACCGGTTCCGTTACGGGAGTGGAAAGATCCTCAATGAGAGTGGTATGTAATCCTGCTCGGTCATCCATGATATCTGACGCGCTTTAATGAAGGCCTGATTGACTTACCTTCTTCGCAGGATGGGCTAGCGAGGAACAACGGATGCTAATCATGAAACATGCGGACCGTCGCACGTTCATTGACCACTATCATCCCCGGACGGTCGGCACTGAGATGATCTGGTCCATCTGCGGCCTTGATCCGGACAAGGAAATGATGCGGTCCGTCGCGCGGCTGGACCGATGGAGGGACCAACGGCGTTCGCGGCATCTAACCACAGAAGACAAAAAACGCATCAAAGATAACCCAGAGCTCGTGACCGCCCGCCAAAAATTGGAGACCATTACTGCCGAATACCACCAGACAAGGAATCTCGTATCCGGCGACAAGAGCGTGAGGTCAGGAATACGCAAAGGCGACTTCTCAGGGCAAGGCTCTGCGGAAACAGGTGCGACAAGAGTTTGATGAAAAGCAGTCTCTCCTCGACATCGAGGCACAGCTTTTGGGGACCATGGCGGATGAAAGTGAGGAGTCATCATCATCAGAGGACAACATGCATCCCACTCTGCTTGGGCTCCTACAGAAGATTCTCTCATATCCCATATCTGATTCTCTGGAAGCAGAGTGGCAATGCCACAATGAAGCTGTTGATTATGTGGTCCTCTATTGTGACACATCGGAAGAGGGCCCTCTCCGCAAACGCCTGAAGAAAACACAACCACCTGCGGGAAACAGTGGGCCTTATGATGACCCTCACTCAAAGGATGACAGTGAGAAAAAGAAGCATCTCTTGTCACATGATGAGCTCTTGCGTCTTACTACAGAACACATTGAAAAAGCTCCAAAGCCACGTGCATGCTTTCAGTGCTTCTCTGACAGAAAGTTGCCAGATGAAGTTCGCTGCCGAATGTTTTATGACCCAGGGTGTCTTACCAAACACTATGATAGTCATCATCTGCAGGATGAGCAGTGTAACTGGTGTGAACTTTCTGTACTACAAATACAATGCATCCGCAGCATCATGCCAAGGATGTTCATCATACGCATTCCCATTTTCATCCACCATTGTGATTTCCATTCTTGGCAATGGCTAATATCTTATTGAGAGTATCAGCTTAAGGCTGCTCGAGATGGTTGCTGTATATTTAATAGAGTCTCATGTGTACATTAATTAGACTGGAAATTGGCTGTAATCAGAGAACATAACCAAGAGATGGTGATTGTCATAGAACTCAAGATGCTCCAAGATAATTAGTACCTTTTTAACATCAGAAGCCAAGTGCATCTCATATGGGGAATGCAAGTCAGTTAAAACTGCCCCAAGACAACTGCAGTAAGTAACATACGCCTACGCCACAAATATCATCAAGCTATCAGGTTCTGAATTCCCAAACATACAGCTCGTCTAAGTTTCTTTTGGCCAAGAGGATGCTTCAATAGGAGGACCCGCAGGAAGTTCTTCAGCAGCTTGATTTTGTTGACAGGATTTCTTCTTCGATTTCTTCTTCGATTTCTTCTGTGTCCCCCCCCCGACGACTCCAGGTATCATGAGGTGGAAGAGGAGATTCCTCTGGTTCGGGTAGAACAGGCTCTTCAGCAACATCCGCAGGAGGCTCCTCCAAAGGCTCATTGACATCCTCTAGGGGCTCAGCAACAGCATTTTCAGGAGAATTAGCTGGAGCAAGTTGTGCCTCTTGACAATATTCATTCTTTCCTCTGGCCCAAGTCTCCCACATATTTTGAGGTGGAAGAGACTTTTGTGGCTCCTCTGGAACGAGATCTTCGCCATTTTTAACATCCTTTAGCCGCTCAGCAATGGCTTCTTCAGGAGAATCGCCTGGAGCAAGCTGCGCTTCTTGACATGGTTCCTTCTTTTTGCTCCCCCCAACCCACCAAGCAAGGTCCTCCAATGCAGGCAACTCTCCATTGACAGATGTCTCAGGGAAACTGGCAGGTTCCTCACCACAGTCTGCCGGTCCCTTGCCACTGTGCTGCTTGGCTGGTTCGTCCGTCCGCAGTAAAATTGAACACCTGGTGCTGAGTATTCCTACTGCCACCCTGAATAACATCCTGCCGAAAGAGCTCTTCACATACTTCAGAATATCTTGATGAATAAACACATTCTCATCATCATCATCAAACTCACTCTGAAGCATTACCCTGGTGTGACCATCAAGCCATAACTTATCCTTTGGCGACAGTCTCTTATATTCCTTACTTCCAACGTTCAGGACTACCAGCAACGACACTGACTTGCAATTCTTCTCCATAGCATAGCTTCCATTGCAAGTGCCACCAGAGGAGGTAATTCATATTTGCTTGTGAAACTAAACACCGCAACGCTCCTTTCTATACTCATTTTCCATTTCCACCTTCTTGGACTCTGTCATGGATAGTCGCAGTGTCTCATACTCGCCGGTGTAGAGAAAATGTACCACTGTGTGTGCAATGTCCTCATCTAGGTCGACGAATCGGATGATATGGTCATGCTCGTTTCCCGGGGGATCAGACAGTGATGGTGGCCTGGTTTGGGATACTAAACACGGGTACTTCTTCAGGAAATGGTAGGGAACTGTATACGACTCTGCATTTCTCCCAGCAAGAAGATAGCAACCGCGATCCCAATATGGTCTAGTGCTTGAAATTAGCAAGTACAGTACTGAAGTGGTGGAACACCGCTCAAAAGACAAGAAGGAACCTACGAAATCTCAGGCTGGGCACTGAAGGCATCACTTTCATTCATACTGGCAGAGTTTGAGGCTTTACGAAGCCCTCCTTTGTTTATCTTGTTTTTCCTTTTTCCCATTGAAGAGTAGGCACGGTGTATTGGCAATCAAACAGCGGAGAGCCGGGGAGGGGGCAGAAGACATGATATCCATCATCTGAAGCAGAGGGCAAAAAGGGCCTTCAGTGCCCCGACCACCAATCATGCTGATGGATGGTGCCAGCGCCAATGGCATGAAGTTACAGGTTAGCTGCCAAGGACGGCACAGTGACAGCGGCGGCGTAGCCGCCAGCCATGAACTCCTGCTGATAGCCACTCGATTCAAAAATTTCGATTCCGTTGCAAGGTCCCCGCATCTACTGCGTATGAATAGGATGGGGTTTACGAGCCCCCGGCAGTCATGCTGTTTCACAATGCTTGGAGATATCTAAGGGACTCCATTCAGTCACGTCCTGGCTTTACATAAATAGACAGCTCCTTTTCTGCTGAGATTGCGTTTCTCTGGATTTCAATCCTCTCTCCTTCATTTTCATCGAACTGCAATATTGATTTGCCTTCCACTGTGCCTACACGCGATAGTTACTAGTACCATTGAACTCTTTCAACCCTCAAATATGTCCCAACAGGCTCTCAAGGTCGTGACCATCATTTGGAAATGCAACAAGCCAAGTGCCACGAGGTTTCCCGGTCTCGTTAGCCTTTGCGAGACAACTGTGAGGGGCGTTGCGCAAACTCTGGACAAGGATAGAGCTGTTATACGGTAGAGTATCCGCCTTCTTGCCAGATAATGCACCCCCTGACTAGGCGCAGTGCCGAGCCCCATAAGACAACGAGAGTTAATGGGGTATTGGTGAAGAATTATACAAATCATATAACAGCAAACTTCGAAAACAGTTAGTATTGCTCCCCTGCCGCCATGTACGTAACTTATCATGGCAGGCGCCACCGGTGATGGCGTTGCGGCGCATGTTTACCTCGACGACGCGAATACCAAAATGCTGGATCAGACGCCAGAGAGACCAAATCCAAAGACGTGGCCGTTGCCAACAGGTAGTGGAGCATCCAGTACTTAACGGAGTCACTCCGAAAGCTAGGGCATCCGTGGCTTGAATGGATGTGAATTGTCCGATATAAGATACCGGGCTGGAACTGCTGAATTGGGGGAGCGCGGCATGTTGTCATAACTCGAGTAGCCATTTCAAGAGTCTTCAAGGAAAATGGAAAGTTCGGCGTAGTTGGGGGTTTTTAGGTTGCCTGTTGGTAAATATCCGCGGTCCTTGGTGTAGGTGATATAGCAATGATAGGTCAATCACTTTTGAATCTTTGAAATTCCACTCAAAAATGGTCTGCTACACAGACCAATGAATGGCCCGTAAACAACCAAGTTGGATTAGAGTTGCACATATTGCCATCACTTCTTTCTTTCGTGGACGCGCCAGATTCCAGACTTTGTGCTCCCAAGCGCCCAACATGTAGTTAACAACATCCAAAGGGGCCAACCTGTGTTGTCTCCGGGGCATTGCGAGAAATTCCGTTGACTGGATGTGGGCAGCCGGTGCTTGCAGCTCATGCCGCCCATCAGGGCAAGGCAACAACCCTGGTTGCATGGAGCCTGGCGAGGGGTTGAGTGAGACTCGCAAGGTGATTGGGCTGAAGGCATGCATCGAAAATTTGCATTGACATTGGAAAGTTGGCGTATCGACCACTGATCTGAGCAACCCCATTCATTCGGCTACATCACGAAAAAGTGGGAAATTCCCGGCTCCGAGCCTTTAGTTAAGTTATTATTATTAGTTACCCTGTACTCTGTTGTGCTCTGGAGCTGCTTAGCTCTTCTTCTTTCATCATGATTGCTCCCTCATCACATTCGATTCGTTTCCAGCTCGTTCACACACAGCAGCTGTTGAACGCCTCGCCCCGAATATTCCCTAAATTATTCCAGATCTTCATCACTCGCAACATGAGTACTGCTCAATTGGCGTATCAACCCCCCTCCATCGATAATATTGAGGATGTTGAGAACTATCGAAAGGGTGGATTTCACCCTGTCCAACTTGGTGATGCTTTTTCTCACGGAAGATACCGCGTGCTGCACAAATTAGGCTTCGGGGGAAGCTCAACTGTATGGTTGGCCCGGGATGAACTATCACAACGACTTGTATCCCTGAAAATTCTTACAGCGGAGAGATCAAATGCCTGCCCTGAACCTGAAATTCTTCGCTATCTTCAAAACAATCCATCCCACACATTAGGCCGTGAATACATCTTGCCACTGCATGACTGCTTTCACACAGAGGGGCCTAATGGCCGTCATACCTGCCTTGTATCACTGTTTGCTGGCCCCAGTTTAAGCCAACTATCAGAATCACCCGGCCAGCCTGGAGGATGTCGCCGCCTGCGAGGCCATGCCGCACGCCAAATTGCAAAGCAGGTAGGGCTAGCTATAGAATTTTTACATTCTCAGGGTGTTGTTCATGGAGGTATCTACTACTACTAGTCCACCATTATCCTACAAGTGCATGAACTAACCCCCATATGCTACAGACCTCACTGCATCAAACATTCTTTTCCAGCTGGCCGATATCAAATGGTCAGATCAAGATATAACAAAGCAATTCGGGCCTCCAGTCACAGAGAGTCTACGCCCCCTTTCTGCAGAACAGAGTGTTTGCGCGCCGGAATTTTTGGTCGCGCCCCTTCAGATCTCAGACCTTGACACCCGCCATTTCACCGGGAACATTCAACTGATTGATTTTGGGGAATCTTTTCTATCAAACTCCCCCCCTGCCACGGGACTCAGGACTCCATTCTCATATCTTGCGCCCGAGGGGATATTTGATGCCAAGGCCAGTGTATGGGCCGATCTGTGGGCGCTGGGATGCATCATCTATGAAATCCGCGCCGGGACACAGCTATTTGCTTCCTTTTTTGGCGGACCAGACGAGGTGCTTCGGCAAATCGTCCAGACATTTGGAAAATTACCAGAGCCCTGGTGGAGTGCCTGGACAGCGCGCCAGACTTATTTCAACAACAATGATGGAAAGCCGAGGGATTCATGGCTGAATGGAATACCACTGGCAGTGGAGTATCCACTGGGCCAGCAGGTTAGGGATATTGGGGCGGAAGACGGACAGGTTGATCTGGACTCCTATTCAACACATAGCTGGCTTGAACCGCTGGGGACGCGCTTGACAGAAGCTGAGGCCAGCGAGCTTGAGGATTTACTGTTTAAACTTCTTCAGTTTTCACCAGAGAAACGTCTTTCTGCTGGCCAGGTTGTCAAACACCCTTGGCTTCAAGGTGTTGAATAATAAATTCTTCCCCCTGCAGTAGAAAGTGTTAGCCCTCTCATGTGCCCATGTTGACCAGTCGATCACCAAAGAATCAGTAGTGGAGCCTGGCTACACTGTTATAGATCTTACAATACTATAAAGATGTTGTGTACAAGTAAATAATTGGAATACTCTATTTGGGGGCATTCAAGATCTAGCATGTCAATCACTTTTCTTGAGACAATTGCTCTAAACATTCCCTTCTTTTCCTGCCTTCATATGAACAGATACCGCACTGTCTGATCACAGCAAAACATCTTTTCTCTCTTTCTCTGTCTTTCAACCACCAGGCCACTTGAACATGTCCAGAGGTCTAAACTGATTGTAATGCATCTTGTTCTTGATGAGGCTGAGGACTCGGGGTGAGTAAATAAACAAAGTGTGGCGAGCTCTGAAAGTAGGTGCCACGCCCTTCGCAAGGGGTGATAGGAGACTATACTGAATGTGCTAGCGGTATGACACTTGGGTTGCTCGAATGATCTAGTTTCTTGGCCCATATGAACATTTACCAGGCGCTTAAGGCTGCTCAGCTGGTTAGCTACTCCAGGAGTGCTTAGGGGATTGCTCCTCTACACCTTGAGATCGAGTAGCTGGGATGGCCTACAGCTCTTTTCCTTCTACTTACCCTTGCGACTTTCAGGCTTTAATGCCAGGAGGTTCGCAGCGATCGTCGTGCTCAGAGCGGAAGAGCAACCTCTTCATCTGTCGTCCAGTTTGCCCTTTTTATTTCAAGCCAAATGGAGCCAGGCTATCATTCATGTCTTTCTTATTTAGCAATGGAACAGGGCAAGAGAAAAGCGCCAAGTTGTGCTGAGGCTTCAAGGTGGTACAGTATAACATCAAGCTTGTGATAAGAAGTGTAGCATCCGCCCTAGTGGCGTTGCCGTAGCGACCGCTCCGCCTACACGTGATCTCATATGTAATATATATAGCTAGCTCTTCCTACATGAATACAACAGATTAACCATCCCACAGGTTATAGCCCGGATAGCATATTTTTACAAAGGATTACATTTTTTTTACTTTTGTTTAAAAACACCTGTGTAAGCATTGAATGTGTTCACTTCAAATAGAAGAATTCTTTTATCATATTTACATTGCACATTACAAGTGTATCTGCTTGATCAGTGATTGAAATAGCAGAATTCTTCAGTATAATATAACATGTTTTTTTTCTTTTCAATTCCTTCATTCAATTCTTCTTTGACTGATGAGTGGTATGTCTACATCACAGAGTGATAGAAGAAGAACTTTATATTCATATTTTCACACTCAGATATCTATCAATGAAGAATCAGAGGAAATAGATACTATACAATATATAGAAGTCACAGAAGAGATCATGAAGTCATCTATAAATAGCAGAGCAGATCATGAATCAGATGATAATATTTCAAGCTTATAAGCAATATGTACAGAAGTGTGACACACAAGTATCATACCTAGAATGAGTTCAGATGATATGATATCAATGACATTCAATAATCTGATAATATTCTGTGACAGAATAAGTACATATTGAGTAGTCATCTCTGCAGTAGATGATTTCAAATCTGAGATCTACAGATATCAAAAGAATATTCAAAAAGTCATGAATATCAAAGCTGTAATCACATTTGATAACAATAACTACAAGATCTGATGTACAGAAATTCTTACAGATACTGAAGTCATCAGCAGATCTGACATTCTTACAAAGAATTAACATATCTGTTCAGAAGACATCAGTCAAGATACATTAAGTGCTGAAAAATAAAGTATTCATATCAAAGCACTGTATCAATGTATGTTACAGTTCTTATTAGAATCTGTACATACAATCATTGAAACTCTTGAGCCAGATAATACAGTCATGCTATGAGAAAGAATTGAAGTTGAATATACTGTCTCACTTGCAGAGAAATGTATAAATATTGTGAAAGAATTCATCATCTTACATATCAGAGATAACAATTATCTGGCATTTCAGAGAAGATTTCATTATCTAGTTATATATTATAAGAAATTGATAAATAACTCAGAAGACTTCTATTATAATCTCTTTCTTATTGATCTGAAGAAGCATCAAAAGTCTTTTATCAAGACATGTTTAGACAATTTCTACATATCTGATCAGAACTCTATACACAACATTGATATTGATAATCTCATGAAACAGTTGATAAACTGTACAAGCAAGTTCAAGAATGAAAATTCTAAGTCTCAGCAAGCTAATGTAACTATCACAACTCTCTCTACATTATTCACACACAGTTTCAAATGTGAGATATGCAGTTTGAGATGACACTGGAAAAACACCTGTTGACATCTATATTCAGAACTTGCTACTGAATAGTAATATGAGTTAAACAAGAAATATATCATTACATCTGAGAAGAATAATAGCAACAATACTAGTATCAGCAGACATAGCAAGTGTAAGAGTAAAAAGA